TCGAGTCTCTCGTTCAGAGACGCTAAACAGTTTTTTTGACAGTCTCTCTCAGCGACACCAGAGAGACTCGATGAGAGACGGAGACTCTAGTCTCGCTTTCAGAGACTCTGAGAGACTGAACATTTTTATCTCGGAATTGTAATCAATATATTTCTTGAAACGATTGCAACCTGTTAAGTGTGAGGGGAACCTAAATAAAAGGAGAAAACTGTAGGGATTTCGTTATTAAAAACGTTTTCGTTCAAAATATACCTACATAGAAACGAAACTAGATAAAGTAAATATAAAACTGAATAATAATATTCAAATACGTAATTAGACACTGTAAATATTACCCTATATTAGAAAGGTGCGATAGGTACCCCGAGGGCTAAAAGTCGATCGACATCTACTGTTTACTGACTACTGTTAATCACTTAGATAAATACATATTAGACCAGTCGCTAGGGAAGTGAGCAAAATAAGCAGATTTACTTGTATAGGATTCAGTTTTTGTTTGAACTACTTACAAAGTTAAACCACGCACAAATAAAGGGGAGTTGTTTCGTATGCGTATGATCTAATTGTGTAACTAACATCAATTCAATCTTATAACAAGGATAATTTTTAAATCAAACAAAATGCACTAGGGAGTGTAAAATTATTGATAGCTTTGACTAGAGCAATAAACATTTGACGTCTCGGGATAAACAAATTTTTGTAAGTTTGTTTGGGTCACTTTGTTATAGAAGGTTTTGAGGAGGACTTAGAAAATATATAATTAAAACTAGATAACAACAACATATATTTACAACTTAACAACAACTAGCGTAACGAAAAGAGAAGAGAAGAGACTTGTTCTGCTGAAGGCGTAAGACGAATTCATTTTATATTTATGGAAAATGAAAAACTGTTCTACAAGGAAGGAATAGAGAGGGTAGTAGATACGAGTAGGGAAGTATTGAAATATGGAACCTTTAAGATTAGAAATACCAAGAATTTGATGGCAGTGTCAACCACCGGAGAAACCGATCGTAAAATTGCAATTAGGATGGAGTGAAAGCTACAGACGTCATGCGGTTAGTACACGAAAGATGAAATGTTACAGGGATTATAGGAAAGTACAGTAATAGAGTTATTTAAATAGATAAGCAAGATAAAATAGATTATTTACAAAAGAAAGGAATTTTTATAGACCCTAATAGAAAATAGAAAAGAAATTATTTAGAAAGGTATTTACAATATGTACACAAAAAGAAACAATTTTAAAACATGTGGTGGATATCGCCATACTACGATAATGAAGTTTGCATTAAATCAATTTGAACCAACTCAAATTATGGAGTATACAGGTAAGGCAAAACGTTCACCGAACATAGACATTTGAACAATGTGCAACACTTCTCAAAAAGCTCTAATTTACATTTATTTGATTTATGTACATAACTTTATTATTTATATAAAAATGTGACTGAAGGTACTTGCAGGAATTTTCCTTTACCACAACGTATTTTTCAAAAGATGATGCAGCCTTTTAATAATTGCATGTAATAGATTATCCATATATTCCTTTCACAATTCTCTACTAGCGCATGTGTTATTTCTCAGGATTTCGCGGCTATTAATTGAATTGTTCAGTTCAAAACAAAAATTGTACTCTTTGCGATAAAGGAGTTTAAAAATTTGTATTTTCAGGTATCTTCTAGAATCAACAGTTTTTTAAGTTATAGTTAAAGTTAAAATAATTTGAAGTTTCAGGCGTTTAGAAATGACATTAAAAAATTTACATAGTAAATAACTTTTTGGAATTTGATTTGAGTTCGTGTTCAGCATATAATAATAAATTTAACTGTTTTGATTTGACGCACCCATTTACTTTAATTATATTCCGTATGACCGAGTATTTTTTTAAAATAAATGTTTAATAATAAAAGGTTTTTAATGTCTCAGAAATGTTTATAATAAACTCCAAAAGGGTACTGTTAGTCGACCTTTTTTTTTTCAAAAAAAGACATCAACTATCCATATTTTTTATTGTATTACCATCGAAAAACAAATGTTTTTATACTCTACAACTGCCAATAAAATTCCTAGCCGATAAGTTTTGTTCACTGCACTGTTTTGGTGAAGTTACATAAGAAAAACAATTGAAGTACTTCTTTAAAGTAGTGTTCTTACCTTTCGTCTAATTTTTAAAATGATTTTAAAAAAGAAACTTTTTCAACTTTTGCCCCTGTTGAAACTGTAGTTGTTTGGTCGCTTTTAAGTTTTTGTACATCAAATTTTTAATAACTTAAGTGATCTCCAAGAAAAGTGATTCCTCAAAAGAATTTGGTTTTATTTATTTTGGTACGAATTACTTGAAGGAGTTGCATTCACATATTGATTTTTTTAAAAAGAAATTTAGCAAATCTGCCTTGTTGATAACTTTTGATGATCGTCGAATTACAAACAAATATTGTTTCAGACTTTTTTTGTATTGTCAAAAATATTGCGAATACATACAATCTATCAAAAAACATGACATTTTTGTTTTTGTATTATGATTAAAATTATGACATTTAGTCCAGTGGTGGCTCGTGAGTATGCATATCACAAGAAAAAAGACAGTTACAAGGGTGGGCACAGTCTGTAAACATTTAGATACAGAGAAAAGTTATTAATCTTCTGGAAAATAACTAAATATCTAGCAACCATTTTTGTAATTTTTAACGTAGAAAATATTTTTTTTTTTTGGAATTGCAGTACACGCCCAAATTTGGTTTTTGAGTTTTATGGCGAAATATTGGTCATGAAAAGAACTTCTCATACATTTAGTACCTGTTAGTTATTATATTTTTTTGTACATAAAAAATACAAAGAAATTTCATTGCGACATCAATTTGTTAATACACCAAAATTGCTAGTATATAAATAGAAAGAATATTGTAAATGGATAAATACTGACCGATATGAAATGCATACACATAAATGTACAGGTAATTGAAGGAAAAAAACAGCTATTACTGAGGGGTTAATGAAAAATTGCAAAAAATTTTGAACGTGGTTCATCAGCGGTCTTTTCATTAAGGTGGACACTCGTTCGAGTCCATCTGTCCTGCTCCAAGCTTTTTGTGGTTACCTTGGATCATTTAGGATAAGGGGTAGTAATATCCCACAGATAATCTTTCAATTATTTTTTGTCTTCATTTCTTTATTTCAATTATTTCTCCCTAAACACAACACATCAATTCACACAATTTCTAAATGGATGTAGGTCGAAGGGGTTGTTCGCCCACCAGCATTAAGAGCTGTTGCGAATGAAACTCAAAATTTAATTTAACTTAGGACTACGTTGCAAGTAAGAGTAACTTAGGACTATTAAAAGTTGGCTGTAGACAAAATTAGACAGAATGTGAAATATGTCAAGCTTGGCAAAATGTTAATACCCGAGTAAAAATTTGTTGTTACAAATTGATTTAAAATCAAAGGATGGAATGTATATGGTTAACAGTAAATTTGCATAAGTTGTACCGTCCAAGAGTACCAAAGAAGTAAGACTGAAATCATGTACAAACGTTTCTTTCTTCTTTCAGATTTTTCATCTTTACCTAAGTATTCGTCATTAAAAATTCATATGCAGCTTTAGGAATATTATTTTCGACAAACTGTAGATACGTAATTAAATCTACATAGATCACTTTGAAATGCATTTACACAATACATTATTCAAAAAATCAAAAAGGATCTTTCTTCTATTAGTTTGAGGATAATTCTTAAAAAAGCAATAATTAATTGCATTAAGAGCAGTTTGCATTCAAATCGACCTTTGATTTTTTTAATAAAACAGATATTTCACTCTACTCCCAAAGGAGAAGTAAATGCCCTTTGGAATTACGTGGGGGCGGAAGGGGGTGAAGATGACTAATCGAAATGGTAATATAATATGAGGCGACCTTGTATAATATATATATAAAAAAAGTGATTGGTGGTTGAGATAGAGATGAGGACGGAGGGGAATGGAATACTGGAAAGACACAAATGTAGAGCTCGTTCAAAATCTCATGGGCCTTTAGATGTGCGAGAGGAAAATTACGAAAACAGTGATTTGTTTGTTAAACAGTGACTACCGAACGAACGCGTGTAATTTTATCACTGCGCAATCCAAGACCAAGTTTCATGAAATTCTGAACTACCTCTAACCTTAATTCTACGGGGTGAAGTAGCATTTTACCTTTACCTCCTCCGCCCTCAAGCCCTAACGTCTAACAGCATTTAATTCCCTTACGGGGTGGTGTGAAAATGCAAACAATTACTGCATTTTTAATTATTTTCAATTCCCCAAGTGTTATTAAACGACTGGCAAGTTTGAAGGATAAGGGAATGGGAGGTAAATGGAATGAACGACAAAAGGCAATTGAAGATGAATATATTCATAAGCAGGTCTTGGTTGAAACGTTACATGTAGCATTCAACTGACTGTATTGTTTAAATTCCAGAGTCAGCAACAGATAAAAGCTCTCAAGGAAACTTTGAAACAGGAAATACAGTTAAGCGAAGATACAATGAAAAAATTTCAGGATAGCGTAAAGAGACTTAGAAAACGTTTAGAGGAGCTTGATGACAAACAAAACGAATAATTGAGCTATTGTACCATATTGTAAACATTTCATTCCACAAAAGAAATACATAGAGAGCAATATTTTATGGAGTTTTTATGTATTTCAGCTTAAAAAAAATGCTATTACCTTTATGTTTAACGGCATAAAGATAACATACGTCACGTTGAAAAAGATGATAATAGTTGCTAGTTATAGATTAATGCGACAACGTCAAATTCTTTTAATTTTATTTGTTCGAAAAATTTCATTAAAACGTATAGTTCTTTTTAGGGAATTCCTAGTTATTTAGAAGTTAAATTAGGGATGCACAGGATCAGTTCCGGCTTTAGTGAGGGGGGGGGGCGGCTGCCCAGGGTGCCAGGTATTAGAGGGCACCGATCTAAAGGAAAAATATACTCAGCGTATTAACTTTGATAGACTTATCTTGTAGGAGTGAGTATGAGTATTCATGTCAAACAAACACGATCTGTCATTGTTTCTTGTCGTACCTCTCACTAAATAACTAAATAATGTAAAACGAAATAGAGACAACAGGCGAGAAATTGCAACTGGTATAAAGCCCTCTGCATTATACATACTTTTCTTTATTTGCCTTTTACATACTCGTAAGTTCACAAGCAAATCAAAAAAACTTTTTAGAAAACCTGCACGTTATCAATAACGTACCTACGATTTATTTATTTATTACTAGCTTTTCCCCGCGGTTAAGGGTTGATTTTTAAAAATTGCCAGAACACGTATTTGCTTAATTTCAACAATGAGCAACCTTCGAGTACGAATAAATATGCCCCATGGAAACGTTGCAACCTCTTTTGATTTGATTAATAATATCAAACGGCATATATTTTTTCAAGTAAATTCAACCACAAATAAAGTATGCCCCAAACAAAAATTGCAACACCTTTTTACTCTCCCCTCTTTAGAGGTTGAATTTTTTAAAATGTCGAGATAGGTCTTTCAGAAATTAAATGAATGAGAGACTATTAAGACCAAGTTTCAAGTAAATCGGACCACGCAGAAACAGGAGTGAAGAGGAGTAGAGGTAGACCTACGTTTGATTCCTGTTCTCAAATAGTTAAGGATGTGGGATGTTTTATAGGGTTGTTCGGAAAGTCATTTCGTTTTTTTTTTGCGGAAATGAAAGACAGTTTTCGTATAATAAACAAATACTTTATTAAATTATATATTGATCGTTCTGGTCCAACATCTTTTGCCATCTTTCTGGTAGTAGCATAATTCCACAGCATCACCTTTTTTTGGTGAATATCGGCTTTGGAAATGGTTTGAGCCAGTTCATCTTTTTTGCTCCATGACCTCTTGCGTTTGACGTTGTTGTATACAACCCATTTTTCGTCCCCAGTGATGATGCGCTTCAAAAACGGATCATTTTCGTGACGTTTGAGAAGCGAATCGCAGACGTCAATGCGGCGACACAGATTTCTCTCTGTGAGAACATGGGGAACCCATACATCGAGCTTCGAGGATAATCCCAGGCCTTTCAAGTGGTCATAAACTGTTGAATTTGATAAATTTAACCTCAATCCGATCTCACGTGTTGTTATTCGCCGGTTCACATCAACTAATGCCTTTATCGCGTCTTTATCAGCTTCAACCGGCCTTCCCGAACGTGGTGCATCTTCGACATCAAAATTGCCGGATCGAAATTTAGCGAACCAGTTCTGGCACTGGCGTACTGTCAACACACCTTCTCCATACACATCAGTCAATTTCTTTCTGGCTTGAACAGCATTTTTACCCTTTCTGTAGTAAAACAGTAAGATATGTCGAAAATGCTGCTTATCGCTCTCCATATTTAAAAGGGCACCAACCAAAAACTACTGCGTAGAATTAATTGGAATTTTTCACACACAAGCCTTGCTATATGAGCTCTCAAAGCATATAAAAATTATACGGCTTAAATGTGAAGTTGGGTGCAAAAGAATACAATTAAATCCTCTGTCGGGAAAAAACGAAATGACTTTCCGAACAACCGTATAGTTTTGGGGAAATGCGAAGATTAGTTCAGGATAGAAAAAAGTGGAGGTGCGTGTCCAACCAGTCTTAGGACTGACGACTTTATGATGATGAAATAAAGAGACATCCTATTGATCGTTCCTAAGTACCTAAGTAGTCAGTACATTATTATTTATAATACTCACAATTTCCAATAAAACTTCTAGGAAAGCTTCTTCGGCTCAATTCTAGAGCTAATCCGCATTTAGTGTAAACTTTACAAGAAACTTGTGTGAAACACAAAAACAACACCGCGATAATTAAAACTACCACCCTTTTTTGCCGCATTATAGAAACTCGATTTATATATTGTCTTGCTTAAATAATGTTGTGATATCAACTAATCGTAAGCTGAACAAAATTAAGCTAACCGAAAAAAAAAACTAATTTGTTTAACAGATCACGCGTACAATATACGTAGCACGTAAATACACAACTTATGTAATTTTACATTTATTTAATTTACTTGTGCGGTAGTTGTAGTGCAGTTATACGTTAGTAGGTAGATATTCTTATGTAGGACAACAATAAATGTTTTGATGCATCTTTTTCATTCGAATAAAATTTAATCTTTGTTTTAACCTTTATATTTTTGTGGTGTTTTCACTTGAATCTTGAATGTAAATAGACACAGGAATTAAAATACTTCTAGTTATCAATTCTTGGAAGGAATACCAGTTAAACGAGGTTTTGTCGTGATCGTTGATAAATTAATAGAGAGTACAGTCCTTGGCAAAAGTATTATAATCTTGCAACGCGGGGGCGGCCTTAGCCACTGCGAGGCTTCGGGCGGGTAGATCTTTGCGAGGCTCTTGTCTTTGTGGAATTAGCTTAAATGATGATACTTGATAATAAATGCAAAGTTATTTATAAATAAATTTAGAGTTTTAAAATTGCATATTGGAAATTAACAGATATTAATAAGCACAAAGATAACAAATTATTAATCATGGTAAACTAAGGTACATTAACGTCTTAAAAAAATCCACCACCCTCAAAGGCTGCCCTTGCTGTAATGGAATAAAATGTGGAGTGTAATATCTCCTGGAGCGACTTGAGGATAACTAACTCCTTTTTTATTTTTAACCAGATTCATTTTTGTATATCGGAATTTTAATGTGGGGGTGCGGTACCGCCCTCATTGAATATCCATAATTTTGAACTATGTGAAAGTGAAAAAGAAACTGTTTTTTTTATTTATTTTTTATTTATTAATACAAGTGTGCAACTAACTCTCAGTCTCTCTTGTTTCTTGTATCTGCGACAATCCGATCCCGATTTCAGATAAACAAACACTATTTTATCTGTGAATTTCAGTTGTTAAAGCTCAATGTTTGGACAATAAAAAGCGTTTTAATAATATTTCAATTATACTACATATGATATCTTGGAGGTATCCATGCCAAACTGGAGGACTACGATTATAGAAATTAAAATAATTAATTATATAATCATTTCTACAAATAAAGGCAATTACATTTTCAAGTTAATTGCTTTAATTTTTAATTATAATTGATTCAAATCCATAAATAGAAATACAGCGCTCGTGCTTTAACTTGGCTTAAAACCAATAAAAGTGAAATGTTGATTGGAGCAGAGCAACGAATTGTTAGAGCCCGTACTGGTCTGCGAGAATAATTCTAAAAATGCATTTTGAACAACGGCATACGTTTTCTAATCGGTTTTTTGGATAACCGTTGATATTAATTAAAATAGGTACAATTTCTGTAAATTAGTATTAAATGCGATATGCAATGCATACATAATTATTCCGTCTTATTTTTTTTTTGTTTTCTATCTTTAAAATGTCTTTTTTATCTTCTGATTAGTATTTTCTTCTGAATCTGATGTTGTAGTCAAATTGTTTAAGTGGAGATTTGACTTTTGAGGAAGTCTTTTTTTGACACGTATCAGGATAGTCATTACTCATTAGTAAACCTACGCTTAACAAGAAATATTGTTCTCTGCCACATATTTTGAGGGATATTCAAAGACATGTTGTACCTAAGTTTGTTTTTTTTTCGGAGTTTTGCAATTCTTCACCTACTTTTGAACCGTTAGGAACTAAAAATGATAATCATGATAAACTTCACGATCCGAATGTTGAGTCTAAACAGGGTGTGGCAAATTTGTGGATTACCCAGACATTATTGTTTATATGTAAGTAAATAAAATCGATTCATAATTTAATCCTTACGTATCTAAAAAAATACTATTTTTATCTAATGTATTCCCTTTCTGATTAGCAGTGTGAAATTGTTTTTTCTATTTAAGAAGTCGGAGGAATCATTATGTTAATGAAGTTAATGAAACTCCCGTTCCTTAACTCGCTTATCTCACAATCTCTCTGTAAACGGTCCAACAGAATTTTTACATCTGTTGATACAATGATGTCCTTGTTTATACATCTAATACGTAAAAATTAGCACATACTCTGTGAATTAGTTAAATATTTACATGTGTAAGAGTAATGGAGTACCGCGTAGGTGCAATTAATTTTGAGAGGCACCGTATTTGAAATAAATAAACACTACATATGCGATTATTTAATTAATTAAAGTTGAGTAACAGTTCAGGGTCGTCGCAATTGTTCTATGTACTAATAAACAAAACGTGTTATAACACGGTATATTTTCCAATTTTGCGGTAACCTTCAAACTTTCCAATGTAGCAAATAGTAACCGTTAATGTTAATGATAACATATACGGTTTACATTTTTATTCGTCGAACCGATAATATTTTCAATTTTCTTAAATTGATAGTCATCATCATCATAAGGTCATCAGTCCTAAGACTGGTTGGACACGTACCTCCTCTTTTTCCTATCCTGAGCTAAACTTCGCATTTCCCTAAAACTAGAACAGCCCACATCCTTAACTATTTGCGAACAGTAATCTAATCTAGGTCTACCTCTACCCCTCCTAACTCCTGTTTCTGCCTCTAATATGTCTCTGACAAGACCTTCATGCCTGAGAAGGTGTCCTACCAACCTATCTCGCCTATTTCTTATTGACTTCCATAGTCTTTTGTTCTCCTATTCCTTCTAATACCTCTTCATTTCTAACTCTATCCACAGTATCGTCATCATTCTCCGGTAACACCACATTGCAAACGCTTCCAATCTTTTCTTTTCCGCCGCACCCACCGTCCATCTTTAACAACCTTTTTCGAATTTCTACATTAACGTTTCGCGAGCATAGAAGTGATTTCTTTTTATTAAAGGCGACACGACCCTGCGCTATCCTCTGCTTTATATCTCTACTCCTCCTTCCATCCTCACTTATCTGACTTCCTAGGTATCTAAAATCAGCCACTTCTTCTAATTTTTCGTCTCCTATCTTTATATTCGCTCTTTCCGTACTTTTTCTTCCCTTGCATACCAGTATTTTGCTTTACTTTTATTTATTTTCATACAGTACTGATCTGTCAGTAAATTGATAGTATTGAAATTAAAATTATTATTAGCGTAGGACTCTTTGGAAAATTAGCGACAACTTTAGTACAACTTTTTAAATGTACTATGCGCATAACATTTTAAATAAAGCACTCTGATATTACAACAATTAATCCTGTAGTATATTTGACACCTTTTTTCTGATTCTAATTTCAGAGAAATAGCGCAATGGCCAATTTGTTTCAAAACTCATGTTTTCCTTTAAGTAGTAATTAATAACTTGGGTTTTATTTGTTAATTACTATAAAAACTACGCAGCAAACTTTTACTGCAGTAGTTGTTGAAGTGCTATGCTTAATAGGTATGCCATTACTACCTATTATAAAATAATATCCGTCTTTTCGATTGTCCACTAAAAACATGAGAACTACTGAACGGATTTCAATGTGCCTCTTATCCTATTATTTAAAATGTCCATTCGGGAAGACTTTATTGCCAAAAAAAAAAATACAACGTGTAATTATACAACAACGTTACTGAAGTAAAACTTCTTCAAACACACAAACATACTGGGATAGGGGTTAAGAATTGGTTTAATGGTATTATTTGTACACTAAGCTTCACACGGGTGCAATATGCTGATAGTAAATATACCATAGAATGTCTTTATATACAACAATCACAGCTTTTTTATCATTAGACAATACAAACCGGCCGGTACCTCCGCAACCGCTATGTTCTTGCATTTTAAGTCTGTAATATCTTCGAAAATATTCATTTAAATTACGTGCTGTAAATGGCCATATTGATCTATATTAAATACACAATGTATTTAAAAGTACTTAATTGGATAAGGATTAATGCTGTATTGCTTAAAATCGCCATGGATTCAAAATTTATAGTATTACCAGATTGAGACTAACCCCACTTCTTTATGCAATGAATTCATGCAGTAGAAATGTCTTCCAAGAGTAGTATATTAAAGTAAAATTGTTTTTAGTTTATAGACATCTGTTTCTGTATTTATTTGATTAACGAATAATCATCTTTTATATAAAATAGTATTTTTATAAAGGATTAGTAGAGCTTATAAATTTACCAAACGAAATAAAATACTCAAATAATATGTATAAATTCAAAGATATGCGTAGAATTTATATAGGTAGTAGTAAATATAATGTATAGTAAAGGATAACGGAAATGTTTTATGGTTTTGTTTATCTGTGGTTACAGAATAAAGACTTTTTATTTATTTCCTTTTAAAATCCAAGTATTGTATTTATGTATTAAGCTACAGTTTACCAATTTTCTATGTTACCAGAATGTGGTGGTTGTACTTATCCCTGGTTTGGTGGTGTGGGACAGTTGCCGTTGCGGCTCCTGGAATCTCCAAATGGGTATGCCCAGAAATAGCGGAAGAGCCTGTGGTTGAATGTAATTGCGATGTACCCCATACATTGAGATGCACTGGGGACAAAACAGCTTTGGACATTATTGGTATGATAACCAAAATTTAGAGCACTATTTTCTTCAAACACAAAGATTATATTGTACAGCTCATATCAACGAAAATTATTAAAAGTTTTTACTGGGCCTCGACGTACTTCGACTATTAACTTATTTTCAGAGATTTTCAAAATTTTAGAACTTGCTACAGTTTGCAAAAAGAAGAATTCATTGACTTGATTCATCTGGCTTGTTTGGAGGTCAATATCTTCGTTTCAAAAGCTCGGAAACGACTCTTCGCAAACGCTATTGAAAAGTAAAACTAATTCCAAAAACCAAAGTTCTAAAAAGCACAATTTCGGCTCAATCAGCGATTTCCGTGTACAGACAGTTATTTCCGGGTTTTTGATAGTAAATGCTTGACTTTTAAAATTGCCAAATTTGGGTACATTTGGCACATGTTTGTAGGTGCAGGAATGAGTAATTATATTGAGGTCAAAGAAGGGAATTTTGAACTTTTATTGTAAACGTCTTTGTTGCTTTTATTATAACTGATTATAAACATTCCTAGGCAATTATTTAGATTGGTTGATTTATCTGTTTATGCTAGTTTTTGAAAAATTGCCAGAATATTAATTGCACCTACAGGTATGCCAATATCTCAATCAACTTATATATCTGACGATTTTCAATAACTGAGTTCCTAATTCATAAAATTAAGTGAAACTCTTTCATTTTGAGTAGCAAAGGGAGGATCAACACCTTTCTAAGTTCTCTCTTCCTTGTGTACTCGCCTGTATTTATTGAGTTATAGGAAATTTTCAGTCTTATTTGTAGAACAAACAGAATAGCTCAAAACCCCAACGCCAAAACACGACATTGTAGCTGTCCGAAGCACTATTTGTTTTTGTTCTACAACAACCGCCAAAGTTTTTCCAATCTACATATTTAGTCTTATTTGTAATTTAAATAATTTTACAGGACAAAAATTACTATCACTTAATTCGTCAATATCAGTATCGCTTCTTGACTGTACAATTCAAAATGTATCCACCATTTCTGGACCTCTTCTAGAAGGAATAGCTCTGAAAGGTCTTGTAATTTCTTCGGGGGAAATAAAGGAGATCCATGGAATGGCCTTTGGAAAGCTTGCCGCTCCTCTGAAAGCTTTAGGATTGCCTAGTAATAAACTCGTCACTGTTCCGACGCATGCCTTAAGATTTTTGTCCGGTCTTAATAGATTGGATCTGTCTACCAATAAACTTAGGAAATTGGAGTCGCAAAATTTTAAGGTAAACAATCAACTTGCACTTCAGTGACATTTACTATAAAATATTCATACTACATACATTATTTAGCTAGTAAGTAAAATGTTTATTGTAGACATAAACAATCTTAAAACGAAATTTGTCTTTTCGCTTTTATGCGAAACGAAACTGTTACCCAGTAAAATATATAAGCCATTTTCATTTCTCAATTGTTTAGTGGTTAAGCATTTGTTTGACGTTTTTGATTTTGGTAAGATGGACAAAGTTTTCTCAAGAAAATACTAATGGCTCATGTTTTTATATTTGCTATGATTGCAGTTATGCACTTACAACAAATGCTGAATTGCTGCTGGTCATTTCTAACCTTGGGTAAAAGTATCTACCGTTTTTGGTAATAGTTATCGTGTTATCTGGCAATGAGAGTCACATGTAAATAGACATAAATATCTGAATGTTTTCTTCAGGGAGACGATGGTTAAAAGAGGGCATAAAAAATGCGTGATAAGAGTTCAATGAATACACAACGATATATTGTTTGTTAAAGAAAAATATTTTTTTGATAAAATTTTTACTTTTTAAAATAAAATCTAATCTACTAATAATTACTTCTGTGTTTAGTCTCTCAAAATATACATGCAATAGAGGTAAAGAATAAGAGTCAATAAGTTAAAGTGTTCGGGCTGTGATTCCTGATATAGCAAAACCTCGTTTCAAAGGGGTATCTCAAAAATATCGCCATTCAAAAATAATCATAGGATTCCGTAGCATTTATACATTGTCATTTGACAACGCTAATATTAGTAGTGAAGGAGATTTCAGTTTAAGGACTCACTGAAGTCAGAAACTTTTTGAAAAAAAAGTATATACATCAACCCTATCGTAACTTTTTGTGGAGTTAAATTTATTAGTACATTTTAGATCGCCTCCCCCTACTTTACGTTTAATTTACACGAAGTGATTTTTCGAAACGAAAATTGAAATTGAAAAGTTTGGCAGTACAGCTGATTTTTTTTAAAACAAATATAATTCTCTGCATTTAGCAGTTGGACTTGGAGAAGTTTGACTGTATTTGTTACCGAAAAGCATGTATCTATACTAACAAAATAAAGTTAGAAAAGAATATTGTCAAATTTTCTGGCCGTGTTTTGTTGACAATTCCAGGTGTGGATTGCGATTTTGAGATCGTTGCTTCCTTTAGCAATGCGTAGATCATCCCTACAAATCACTGCAATGGTTCATGCAAGTTGCTATAAAATAACAAAATACAGCAAAAAAAAAGAAATTTATAAATTTGTTAGTAATTGTAAGCATTCATATTGTTTTACAAGTTTGCAAACCAGAGGTAACAACTAAGAATATTAAATTTGCTGGAGTTTTGTTTGGCGAAAGGATGAAGACCAAAAAATTTGAAATCGCAAAATACTTATTCGTGTGCTACGGTAACTATTAATATTTTTACAGGGTTTGGAAAATTTATCATATATTGACCTATCGAACAACGAAATATTACGGATTGCTCCAAATACCTTTTCCCATCTGTTACATCTCAGGGTACTTCGTTTACAAAACAATCGCCTAACAGTTTCTGCCTTGTTTACACTCAACACATTGTACTCCATTGAAGACTTGGATTTATCCTCGAACTATCTAGATGGGCCCCTGGATTCTCAGACACTTCCCAACATTCCCTTTCTCCAGAACTTACAATTGTCTCACAACTCCTTCAGTAGTATAAAGATGGGCGCTTTGGAAGGATTGCCCAATTTGCAGACGTTATCGTTGCATGGTAATCAGATAGATGTACTGGAGGATCACGCTTTCCTTTATCTTTCCAATTTGAAACAATTGAATTTATCAAGTAACAGGATCGTGGCGGTATCAGGGGCATCGCTTGATCATTTAAAAAATTTAATCGAACTCGACTTGAGTAGCAACTTTCTAAGGGCTGTTGCTGCAGACTTACTAACGCCATTACAAAACCTAAGGATATTAAGACTGGACGATAATGAAATTTCCATTGTATCAAGTGATGCATTTAAAATGGGAATTCTTCTTGAAAGACTGACATTACGAGGTAAGACAATTTAAAAATATTGCTTCCTGTTTACTTTTCAATTAAATGTAATAATCAAACTATCTATCAGAAATAAAAAACCTATAACACATTAATTGAGGCAGAAATAAGGATAATAAATAACAAAGCTTTCCATAAAAATCTTAGTTCAAGTATTTTGTGAAGGAGTTATTAGCAAAAGACAAAATAAAATTCTACTTTTTGAACTTTTGTCGAAGTACTTTCTAATTTTTTGAAAAATCGTTTATCGAAACCGCTTATATGGAAATGTTTTCGAGAAGCCAGAATTTCCGATCATACCGATGCATAAAATTAACATATTTAATTAGTTAAAACGAAGCGACAACACGTTAATTGATTTGCTAAAATAGAAATAGTCGCTCTAAATGTTGTTCAATGCAGATATGTAATATCTATTACATCACTCATCCGAAAGCGGTCATTGGATGTATTTTCCGACGAAAGCTTAAAATGTAATTTATGAACTCACTTTATTAGACGTGTGCAAACGACCATACCTAGGATTGCGCGACTGGTACATGTCTAATAATAAAGTGTCCTTTTCCAACTTTGGTCACATGTATAAAAAATGTGCTACTGCGATCTTACCTAATCTCAAATAGTAAAAAAATTTTTGTAGCGATTGTTGTCTTTTTTTTAACTGTATTATAGAATTGAGGCTCCAGGCGAAAATTGCTAGATTAGTTCCTTGTTTAGGATTTAATTTTTTATCTTCACCCCTCCAGACGAGTTCGAAAAGAACGCTTTAATCCTTAGGTTTGGTTGTTTATTGTGTGCCTAGCATATACATAGCTACATCAAATCAGTTAAAAATGTTTTACAAAAATTGTGTTTTTATCTGCAGATTATCATTAAATATCTGAACGTAATTTATTTCTTTAGAAAATCCCCTCAATTGTGACTGTAATCTTATGGATTTTGCCTATTGGTTATCGAATTCAACAATTCCGAAGGAAGACAAGAAGAGTGTCGTGTGTGCTACACCACCGTCTTTGGAGAATGGAATTTTAATAGAAATTCCATCGAACGAACTACAATGTGGTCACCAAGAACCGCTTCTTTCCCCATTGAATATGCCTGTCAGAGCTCACATCCATTTAAGAAGCTTCAGCTTCGACGGTTCTAAAATAGTTCTTGAATGGTATGTCGAAGAGGAAGCGATTCCTTATACGTGCGATGCTCTCTTTGTTTATGAAGAAGACGGGTCAAAAGAAGTTTTGCTCGAATCGAATCCTTTAAAGTGCAATTCGTCCAACTTGAAAGATCCACGTCTTTTGGATGTGACTGTGCCAAATTCATTTGAATTATCGTTGGGTAATAGGTACCGTTTTTGCGTGGTACTTTTAGAATCCGCAACTCGTTCCGACGAACTATCTTTGGCGTTGGGATGCTCCGACGTTTTACCATTGCTACCAAACGCTCCTCATAAACGTGCAAAACCGTCACCAACAGCTCCTACGATTCAAACAACTTTTACTTCGGATGGTACGCTCACAGTTAATGTAGATGTAAATCGTTCCGAGAATTGCGAAGTCCATTTGGCATTATTCCAAACAAAAGGTGCTTTGTATCAGAAGAAAGTAATGAAATGTAGAAACGATAGATACATTTTTGAAAATCTTGATGAAGACGTTTATACATTATGCATAAATTTGTTGAAACCTAATAATAATCGTGATTTTAAAAACGATCAAAAGACCCAGTGTGTTAGAGTGACCAAACAGCAATCTACTCAAATGATACAGGGGGGATCGCTTGCACTGATATTCGCTTTAGGAAGCATCGGTGTATTTTTAATATTTGCTGTGCAAAAGTGTTTTCAGAAATCAAGAGTTGGGAGATCTCAATGCTTTATATCCTCTGAAGAAGAACGACCACACCATAATCGATACGTAAAGTTGCAAGCTACAACAAAAGTGTAAAAGTGTAGTAACTTTAAATTTTGTAAATAGATTTTTGTGCCATAAGTGAACTGAAATAAAAACATAATCAATAATTAATTAATAATTTAACTCATTTCTAACATTCAGTATTAACTCATATCTATTTGTATGTATATATAAATATATCTAAGTATACGAACTTTAATAGAATTGCACAAAGTTTATTGAACTACCTTATCATCATAAGGTCGTCAGTCCTAAGACTAGTTGAACACGCACCTCCACTCTTTCCTACCCTGAGCTAATTTTCGCATTTCTCTAAAACTAGAACATCCCATATCCTTAACTATTTGCGAAAAGTAATCTAATCTGGGACTACCTCTACCTCTCCTAACTCCCATTTCTGTCTCTAATATGCCTCTGACTATACCTTCATGTCTGAGAAGGTGTCCTACCAACCTATCTCGTCTATTTCTTATTGACTTCCATAGGGTTTTTCCTATTCTTTCTAATATCTCTTCATTGAACTACTTGTGTAGTAATATTAGTTTATTAGTAAATACAAAAATTTAGTGCTCCTATTTTAATATTCATTTTGAAGGGCTTCCAATATACAAGGCAGATTATGTACATTAAGTGAAAAGATCACTACAAATATTTATTTTGATAAGGTATAACATAAAGCTGTATAAACAATTAAGTTAAACTATTTTATACGCTACGAGTATCTTAATCAGGATTTTCATGTTTCTATCTAAAATTTCCATAAAATAATTTATTTTCCATTTCATTTAATTTTCTAAAAGTGTTTGAATTAATGTCTTTTATTTCCATCTGGGAGTCTAAAAACAATTTTTTATGTCTGTAAATTTAACTAAAAGTGCTAAAAAAAGAACATGACCGCTTAAGCATGTAAAACTTGCCCTAACGTTTAATTACTTGCTGTCAATAATAATTAAAGAAATATCAATATTCAAATGGTCCGAAACTACTTGACATATCGTAATAAAATCGAAAGAATGAACACAGGCATCTGCGGCGACTACAACAATAAAGGTACATATATTTTTTTAGAATATTGCTTACTTATTAATTAAAAAGTATATTTTTGAGGATTTTATGTAGCCAATTCTGAAGTGCTATTTACAAAAAAATTTGTTGCAATTCTTTATTGAAAAGCTTTTACAAGTATGAAATATAATTCTGAAAATTCATTTCTGAATTTTT